TAAGAGGAACAAAGCCTGACAATACACTTTGAAATAAACAATGATGGAAGCCATTTGTAGCTCCTAATAAGCAAATACATTCATAGTAGAGAGGCACGAACATTTTGATTTTATAGGAACTGAGAGGAAAACCAACAATGAGATCAATCAATTAAAAGTAATCCACATCCATAAGACCCGCAAAACTGCTTCGAATTTTAAACTTCAAATGTAATCTCTAAATTATTTATAATGCAAAAAAACCCAAAACAACCGGGGAGGGGGTATTACTGTTAAAGAAATTGTAGGAAGTTTCATCCATACAATCGACACATACCTCTATAGGACTCGCCGGTGATGGCACGACGATGGGACCGAAGGCGTGAATGCTGGACGTTGGGACCGATTTGCGTGAGGGAGAGCGGATGAACTGATGGAGGGTTTACGAAGAGAATAAGGCTCGGGTTTTATCCGGGAAATTTAGGGATTTTAAACTGATTTTAAACTGTATAATTGTACTCTATAGCGGTGTTTTCTAATAAACGCCACTAATATCGAAATCATTTGTCGCATTTGTGTTCAAAAAATGACACTAAAGTATGCATATTTATTGGCGTTTTCATAAAATCGCCGTTAAAGTTCTATTATATTGCGGCGTTTGTATAAAAACGCCGCTATAGATTATATCTACTGCGGCATTTGTACAAAAACGCCACTAAAGTTCTATTATATTGCGGCAGTTTTTGATACAAACGCCGTAACAAGTCAGGTATATGGCGGTGTTTTTAGATACAAACGCCGCTAATTTCATTAAACTGTATAAGATTAATTGATTTTCCATATTTTATTTTTTCTCTACATAAACTTAATTTACTATCATATAGCTTTATTTAATTAAAAACAACCATAGACTTTAATTAAGACACACATTATGCATACAAATACTTAACAATTCATTAAACTGTATAAGATTAATTGATTTTCCATATTTTATTTTTTCTCTACATAAACTTAATTTACTATCATATAGCTTTATTTAATTAAAAACAACCATAGATTTTAATTAAGACACACGTTATGCATACAAATACTTAACAACAAAATACATTCAAATTTAGAAACATTAAAGTATGCATTAACAGTCTTAACCATATTGTTCACTAGAATTTAGTCTTCATTGCTCCTTAGTGGGGAAAGGACGTAAGAAAGCTGTTTTCCTTGTTTGACGACGCATCGTTAAATTTTTCCTCTGTGAAAACTCTATATGGAGAAACTCTTCATCCATTTCACCAAATAAATCCCCTACCTTCGGTTCACCAAGAAGACTCATTGTGCGCTTCAGTGCTTCACTTGAAACAGATAACGACCTTCCACCTACAATATGAAACTTGATTTGAGTTGGCTTGGGAACAAAATCAAACATAAAAAAAATTAAATAGATGATAGAAACATTTACTTGGACTAACAGTAAAGGCAACATCGTCTTCATTGAGGATAGATATTGCTTTTGCAATTGAAGATTCTTTCAATGCCACAGAGTTACCAAATTTGGCTCTATCATCGTTCTCAATAAGCTTTGAACATTCTACATGCGTGCGATCTATTAATTTTACAGTAAAAAAAATATAGCGCCAAAAACTTTCAGCGATTAATTATTACCTTCATTTAGGAGATTGACCATGGAATGTTGTTTTACAATAGGAGGGCATTTCGGGTCATCATCGAGTTTCAACGGTAAGTTCGGACTTATAGCCTCCCAACGATAATTTGATCCATCGTCAGAGCAAAGACGCCACGTGGACATTCCGACGATAATTTTTCTTATTGAATGCAACACATGCTCTTTGTACCACAACCATTTGTTCATGTTTCAAAAGCTATTATTTTCCTATTCGGAAGCTATTATTCTTCTATTAGAAAGCAGAAAAACAATGCTCCCAATTAGCAATAAACCAATAAAAAATATGTATATATATTCTTTTCCTATTCGAACGCTTTTATTTTTCTCCATTACTTTAGCTTTCTGGGTTTTCCCCATTTTCAGAATACCAACAAAAATTAAATGAAAAAGTTCAGTAGTGAGAGAAGGGATCAAACCGTGCAATCGTGAGATAATTGTTCGCCGGTGAGAGGGCCGATTTGGTCGCCGGGACAGACAAAAGATGACGTTGCCTGGAATCGCCTGAGGGTCGTTGTTGTACCAGAGAAATCCCTTTTAGGGAAGGAGTGTTGAAATGATTTTAGGGATCAGGTAGAAGAGAAGAGTCGAGCATATATTCACTATTTTGCAGCGGCGTTTTTAAAAAAAACGCAACCATAGTACATGTTTTTGTGGTGTTTTTATAAAAACACCACTATAAACAAACATATTGCGGCATTTGTACTATAAACGCCGCTAAATTATTACTATATTGCGGCATTTTTACACAAACGCCACTAAATTATTACTCTACAGCAGCGTTTGTTTGATAAACGCCGCTAAATTACATCTCTGTTGCGGTGTTTCTTGAAAAACGCCGCTAAAGTATCATTTTGTGGCGTTTGGATTGTAAACGCCGCTAAATGCTTAAATTTTGTGGCGTTTACCCTGAAAACGCCGCAAAAAATGCCGCTACAGAACACATTTGATGTAGTGACTATTTTGTAACTTTTAATAGACGAATGACTCAACAGAGCAACATCCTATAGTCGGGGGGAATATTTTATAACATTTAATAGTCGGAAAACTCAACAAAGCAACATCTCATAATTGGATGACCATTTGTATACTTTACCCATAAAACAATTACGATTATATGAATTTTGTGAAGAAAAAAAAACTATTTAGAATTTGATCTTATTGTGTTTCTATAATATTAAAATAAGTTATTTCAAAATCAAAACTAGTTTTTGGAAACGGTGATGACACTTTAATATAATTCTAACATAAACCAAATTAATTCTCAATCGTAAATTGGGCTCAAACCTATAAGTTGAGATTTTTACTTTAATTTTTCTTTTTATCAAGAGATTGAGCATTTGTCATTTGCAATATCTGACAAAATATATAAAAGAAATTGAATTATACTGTCAATTTAAATATTATAAATTTACAATTTATAAACATTTAAAACTTGCAATATCATGAGAGGAGTCGAAGTCATTATCTACCTTGGTGTTTTGTGGTATATACGACTCGAAGAAAAGCACACGAGTTTGGAGTTCTTGACTTTATTATATTTGTTGTTACCGTGTAATAATAATTTTAGATGGCATTTTCACTGCTATATAATAATTTTTTTAATAACGAATCATTATTTAAATATATGAGTTAGCAAAAATTACATGCAGTAAACTCCATTGCGTACAAGTATTAACCTAAAGACGAGGTCCAGTAAGGTGTGGATAAATCTACCATCATCTTTCATGGAATCTAAAATTGCTTTCCTTTTTACCCACCCAAATTAGTATACAAAGTAGATCATATTTCATAATTATATGTTGCCGGTTTTCAAATGTCTCCTTTCGGTGCTGCTGTGACATGCGAACACTACAAAAAATTTAGATTGTTTCAATAAAATTATTTATCACTAAAAGTACAAAATTTGTCACGATATATTTATTCTGACCAATTTTATTTGTTACCATATTTGTTAGAACAACCTTGTCATATAAAATATATTGTGACAAAATTGTGTTCGTTACCATAGTATAATATTTATTGTAATAATGAAATTTCATTACTATAATTAACTTATCGCAATAAAATATTTGTCACAATCAATTAACCATTTTGTCACGAGAAGTACATTTTATCATAACTAACTTATATTTAAACATCAAACATAAAAGTTTTTTGTGACAAAAATACACAAGGCAACAAAAATTAATTTGTCACAGTTGCTATTTCGTCACTAAATGTAACTTACAGAGACAAAATATTTGTTAAAATAAAACAATTATTTTATCACAAAAAGTAAATTTTGTCACAATTAAGTTAAATTATAAAATCAAACAAAAAAAGTTTTCGTGACAAAAAGACTATTACAAGAAAATTTATTTTCTCACTACTTTTATTTCGAAGCTAAATATTTTTTATAACTTTTTTACTGTGACTAAATAATTTTGTTACAATTTGTTATTTTGAAAGAATATTATTTGTCACCATTTTTTATAATGAGAAATTAATATTTGTTATAAATTGTTATTTTGATTAAATAAATTTATCACAATTTTTTATTTTGACTAAATATTGAGACGAAATAAATTTGACATAATTGTTTACTTTGACTAAATTTAAAGTGTGACTGTGACTAAATCATTTTGTTCCAATTTGTTATTGTGAAATAATATTACTTTTCACAATTTTTTATGATGAGAAATTAATGTTTGATATAAATAGGAACAAACTTTGTATTTTCAGCTAGTAGAATAAACAATATATTGGCACCATTCCCATGTCAATACAATATGAATTTCGATGTGTTAAACATGTCTGACATGGGCACTAGTTATACAATCTTGGTCTTTCATGCGGGCCAGACCAAACACCAACAGGAAGAAAGTGAACTGAGACAACAATGGGAGATTGCTTGGTCATGTGAAAACATGATACACAAACTGAACAAAAAAAAAGTCCGAGTGTACTATTTCTGTACGCTTTTCATCCAAATGAATGAGTCTGAATATTTTAGTAAAATATGGCCCAATACACAGAGACAACAGACAACCATGTCAGATATTCAAATACCCAAAGCATGTAACTATAGTTGCTTGACTTATGATTTCAAATGTTCCCTGATTCCTTTTGTAACAGACATATTTCAAATGTCTTTCCCCTAATGCTTGCTGAATGCTGATTGGTGTAATATTAATTATTTGAAACTAAAGATGAGGAACCCGTTCTATTCATATTCAAATATGAGCAAATTGCTAAACAATCAAATACTCAAATGGTCAGATGACAATTCTATGTTCTAACATGTCATTTGCAAAAAGGAAAAACAATAAAGGTAACTACTATGGCAGCTCAATGGCATATGCTAATGAATCTATAATAGAAGTTCACATAAAAACAAGTTTTGATTAAAAAGAACACTCACGGCAATCAGATTCCCAAATTGGCTAGTGAACTTTGTTCCTATGCTGCTCTTCACAAGTCCCAACACCATTGAACCTGCCATTCAAATATAAAAGCAACAATATGATGATCCAAAGATGATAAAGATGCAAATACAAGGGGATAAAAGATTAAAAAAAATTCTTTTATGATTATAAAAACTTCCTAGGAGAAACATACAGTGTTTCACATCAATAGTCATTGCAATCTTGTCAAGCACAATAATAGCATCCTCAAAAGCCTTATTGTATGCTGCAAATGAAATGGTTCATCATCAAATTCTAAGTAATGTTTCAAAAGCAGATGTTAAGAATCTAGCATCAGTTCTAAGTTGCATTACCTTGACAGATAACCGTAGGATGATAATTTGTTTCAATAAAGGCTTCTGCGGCATGAAGCAACTCACCAGCTGCACCACAGAGTACACCAAATATAAGTACTAAAGGAAATTGAATACCAAATGAGCTAAGCAATTAAAGTTCCATTGAGCTTCTGAAAAAATTATTAGTTCACAAAAAAAGATCTTATAGATGAGAATATAATTGAAAAATAAACTAATGTATGGAAAAGTATAAAAGCACATAAACAGCATTTTGCTGCATAAAAAAATCTACCAAGAACAATGACAGATGTCGTTCCATCTCCAACTTCTTCATCTTGCGTACGGCTCAATTCAATCATTGACTGACATGACCAACAAAAAGGATAAGACTGAAAGAAAATAAGACAATTTTTTTTTTGTTTTGTGGGGTGGGGGAGGCATTCACATGCTAAAAGCAGATCAAATAGAGATGCATGGTGGAATATCATGCCTTTGTTGCTGGGTGTGCAATATCTAACTCACCTAGGATGGAATTTCCATCATTAGTAACGACAATACCCGGTAGAAATCAAAACCATACAACAATATTTATACCAGATCAACAAAAGCGCATTTGAAGGGTAATAAAATGTTTTTGTTAATTCCAAAACATTTGCACCGGAAATGTAAATAGAAGTAAAAAGGATTACCTCCAGCAGCATCAAGGAGCATTTTCAACATGGATCGAGGACCCAATGTTGTTCGAATAATGTCAGCAATAGCCTGTAAAGTAATTTTGTTCAGTGAGCATTGAACAGACAACAACAAATGGAAATCATATCGAAGACCCAAAGCATGTTGAATCCTGCCTTCTTAGATATATATAAAGTTCTCAGATCAGAACTCATAAACAAAAATTGGGTTTACATTCTTTCAAAATTTAAGCAGCTTATTCATCAATCACACTCTAGATTAATACAGAGTAAGTAAAACAAAATAATTAAAAAAAAAAAACAATGAAAGAAAAGGATTACCTTGGAGGCTTGGATATTAGCATGGTGAACCTTAGTCCCGGACTCCCGCTTCAACGAATCCTCTGCTTATTTCAATGTTATTTTTAGGAACAAATTGAATCTAAAGGATTTAAAAAATGCAACAAAAGAAAAGAAACTTACTCAGAACGAGAACTGGGGAGTGCATTGCTTATGATTGTTTTTGGTATTAGAATTTAAAAGTTGTTGAAACAGATTAATCTGAAAAAGGGTTTCTTCTTCTTCCACTGAAAAACCCTACTAGAACGATGGACCTTTTCTCCCCCAGTTTTTTCTCGAACGCTTGTTTTGTATGGGAACTAATGAAAGATTTGAAAAAATGAGGTGCATGCCATTTATGGGCTTCATTTGTTTTCTTCTTCTTCTTCTTCGGAGAGGCCCAATTACTTTCTCTTTGATTTGTGTTTACTTTCTTGTTAATTGGGTAACTCCAACAAGCCATTAAACTTAAAACATCTAGCTTTCATCCAAAATGGTACGTAGGGTTGAAATAAAATAATTAGAGTTTAACATAATAACATTTAAGTAAATTTATATAAAAATTTATTTATTTCTCATTAATAAAAACAACTCCATAATTATATTAAATACATTATTTTTTTATCATCTGTATTAGTTAGGGGTGTTTATATTTAGGTACTCGCTTTTTCAAGTATTTGAGATTTTCCAGTGCCAAAATCTTGGTCCATGTCTTAGCCAGTAATATGCGGTACCTGTAAGTCGAGTAACCTTAAAACCCAGTACCATTGTTTTCAGGTCATTGATACCCGATTAATATTTATTTTATTTCTTTAATTTAGTTTAATTTTCAACAAAAAGATACCTAAGGCTCTTGTACTTTTGTGAAAAGATCAATTTGGCCATCGAATTATTGTTGCATTCAATGTGACCCTCGAATTTAGAAAAAAAAATTACGTGACCCTTTAATCAATGATTTCTATCGTTAACCATTATGAAACTGTGTAATAAAAAAATATTAAAAAATAGTTATACAACTAAGAAGAGCTTTGTAGTGAATATATCATTATTGACGAAAGTAAACTTCACCTAAACTTAATGTAAAAAATAATAATAGGAAATTTGTCCTACTTTAGTTAATATATATTGTTCAATTTTTTAGAATTTTCATTTTCATTTTCACTATTTTGATAATATATTTTGTTATTATCTTTTATTTAAAACTAGTTTCGTAAAAAATAAATGAAAACATTTTGATAATATATTTTATTATTATCTTTTATTTGAAAATGCCATTGAATTATATATATTACAAAATTTTGATTTTTATGAACATATTTTTATAATAAATTATTATATTTTCTCATTAAAATAAAAATGTATAACTAAAAACATATTTTTTCATAAAACACTAAAATCATTTATTAATTAAAAAATAAAATTTTTGTTTTTATAATTTTTCTATAACAATAACTATAAAACTTTTACTATATAACATTTTTGGCACCAAAAAATAGGGAAAATTTTTTATAGTATAATTTTTCATAATGATTAAAATATATAAATACAAAATAATTAATTACAAAAAACTTGAATTTTATTATCTGATGTGATAATTTTTTCTATAACAATTACTATAAATTATAATTACAAAACTTATCAATATAGCTTTTTGAAACAAAAAAAAAAGTTGAGAAAAAATATTTATCATAATATATGTTATAACTATAATTAAAATTTATTACTACAAGCATAATTTCTCACAAAAATGTGAATACCATTATTTTTGTGACAATGTTTTTTGTAATAATTATAAACACTTATAGTTACAAAAATTGTTACAATATGATTTTTCTAGTGCAAAAAAATATAGAGGAAAATCTTTATGAAAATATATTTTGTTACTATATAACATTTTTGACATTAAAAAAATAGGGAGAAATAGTTTTGATAGTATAATTTTTCATAATGATTAAAATATATAAGTACAAAAATAATTTAATACAAAAAACTTGAATTTTATTGATATGATATTTTTTCTATAACAATAACTATAAATTATAATTATAAAAATTGTCAATATAACTTTTGAAACAAAAAAGTGGAGAAAAATAATTATGACGATTAATATATGCTATCACTATAGTTAAAATTTATAACTACAAATATAATTTGTCACAAAAACGTGAATATCATTATTTTTTGTGACAATGTTTTATGTAATAATTATTAACATTTATAGTTACAAAATTTGTCATTATATGACTTTTTTTGCGCAAAAAAAATATGGATGGAAATCTTTGTGACAATATATTTTGTCACTATAATTAAAACATATCACGACAAACATTATTTTTTTACTAAAAATTTGAATCTCATTATTTGCTGTGACAATTTTTTTTGTAACAATAATTATAGTTTATAGTTACAAAACATGTGACCATATGATTTTGTTTTTTACAAAAAATTGGAGATAATCATTTGTGACTATGCATTTTGTCACTATAATTAAAACATATAATTACAAAAAAAAATTTGTCACAACAAATCTAAATCTCATTATTTGTTGTGACAATTTTTTTTTCATAATTACTAAAACTTTTAGTTACAAAAGTTGTCGCTATATGCCTTCAATTTGGCGCCAAAAAAATGGAGGGAAACATTTGTAACAAAAATTTGTAATAAAATCTATTTTATCATCATATGTTACACATGTTTGTTAATTATGACAAATTATTATGACGATTTTAGCTTTTGTCATAATTGTATATCTTTTTTTAATCTAATGCTACGATTATTTAGTTTGTCACCAAAAAACTACTAAGAGTGACAAAATTAATTTTATGAAAATTAAATTTGTCAAAATAGTAGAAATTTCTAGTAGTGGAAAGAAGTAAAGAATTTATTCTCCCAACTTTATTTCGGTGCCACCGTATAATTTTATGTAACATATTTAAAAATTATATTAGAAATTTAACGAATGTAAAATTATAAAATTTTAAAAGATTTAAAATTGTATTATTAATAGTAAACATAAAAAATATCAACTATTTTTATGGTGACGACAAATACTTTAGCATTCTCTTGATTCATCTTTATGTTTGTGCAAGAATAGATCTAAAAGGGTTGACGACTTTTGAAAATTTTAAATTATCATATATTTTAAGCATCTTCTTTATATTTTCTATTAATAATATGTTTTCGTCTTTAAATAGAAGCTCCGCTATCTAATATAAAATATTACTTCAGTCCTTATCCTTTCCGACTAAGGAATCAAAATCCAACTGTCTTATTCTCTTTGGATTACTTTTAGAATGTGATGAGGTGGAGAAACACAACTTTTCGTTTGATTTCATCTTTGCTCTGCACCGCACCAGATGGAACCTAATCAAAGTAAGCCAACACTCTAGAAAAAAAAAAGTAAACATTAAAAATGTATAAGATTTTTAAGTCCACAGTTAAACTTAAAAATGTATATAAATTGATGGGTTTGAAGCAGAGTTTCAGCACACATATACTCCAACTTATCCAAAAAAAAAAAAACTGTTCATTCCAAAATGGCAAAGTCAGAATTTGGACAAGAGAATCAGCCCCCGCAGGTTCTAATTCTACTGACACTTCTTTCAGATGATAAATGGAGATTTGAGAACTTACTTTCTTGTTGGTTTTGATGAAATTAGGGTATCCCACGATTGCTGATCCACCTGCAACTCAGAAGAAATGCTTCCCTCGTTCAAAGAAGAAGGGAGATAGGGGCTTCATTGAAGGATGGTAAGAGCTCACTATCGTAACATTTTCGTTTCATTTTGATCATTCATTGTTAAAAATTAACAGAACTGCTAACATGATACTTTTTTAATTTTTCAGTGATGGTGTGACATTATATTATAGTGCACGTTAGTATCACCATTAATTTTTAACGGTGTATAATCAAAATATAGCATTATGTACGATTTTGGAAGAAAAAAATAATTAAATGACCAAAACGGTACCGCATGAATAATTAGATGACTAAATATGTACTTTATCCTTTATATTATCATCATCCTTCAATCTAATTATTTTGACTTGTAAGTACAGCTTGTTCGCCCTTTGTTGCTGTTGGCTCTGCGAAGCTTGCTTCTAAACAATGCTTTTGAGGAACCGCTCCTATGTTTGCTTCTTAACAATATTTGGTTGTGATTGTTGCTCATATTGTGTTATGAAGTAGACATGATTGATGTTACTAAATGATCTTCAGAGCTGTTCATCGTGTTTATTTTATCAAGTTTTTTCTTTCATTATATAGATACATATGCTCTTTTTATGATTTAATTTTAATTGTTTACATTTTAATTTCCTTATATTTAACCTTTTCTCATTTAATGTCAAACTAAAAAAAATGGCATACAGATCCCTATGTTTATAGCGAAATAGGTCCACGTACATTATAAAAAGAAGTGATAAATTTAGGTGAATATTATGATTTTTATTTTAAATAAGGAGGTAGTGTTGATGAAAAATTATTTTAGGAATTTGAGGTGACTTTTGTTATAATTGTTAAAGTTATTCTCAAAAGTTGATAAATGTTTAAAAATACTCATCGAATGATTGAAGAAAATTTGTACATGTCCATCTTTATTGCTGTTCGATATAACTTGTGCTCATACAAATATGTGTTTACTATATGTATGTATATATTTAATTTTTTTTAACAAAATTATATGATATTTTATTTCTGTCTCGTTTTTTTTAATGTAATTCATATTATTTTCTTTCTTTTTTAATTTCGTCCTCCAGCGGTTTCCCGTCAACAATTCCATAAAATCATCTACAATTGTAGTCAACCTTACCATAATATTTTTTAAATCAACATACAACAATTTTCAAATCCAAGACCTAAGGATTTTATCAAAATTGTCAACGTCCACAAACCACTTTAGTAAAATTGTCAACATTCAAGAACAAATTTTCAAAACTTTTACTATAAACAATTTTTTAAACTTTTTTAAAAATAATTTGCACCAGCATCATTTTAAAAAAAACTAATCATAGTATTCCCCTAATTTTATCAAATTAAACAAAATGATCTTTATATATATACATAAGTTTGTGAGAGAGTATGAATCTATTTACATGATACAAAATTTAAATATTATATTTAATAGGATTAGATTTAGTACGTATTTATCGATAAAATAAAAAAAATTAAAATTATTATAAATTAGATTAACCTATTTATCAATGCGAATAAGTTTACCTTATCGGTTGGTGGTAGCTCATCCCTTCTAATTTGAACAGAGAATCTTGGTCGGTAGAAGTTGGGTTGTTCGCCAGTGAATTTTTGTTAGAGGATGGCTAAAGGAGAGTATAGAAAAGATGATGGGTCTAGATGATAACTTGGAAAAAAAGTACCCTACCCCTTTAGTGTCTTTTGCGGTATATAACTTGATTATAAGATGATTGGTGTCAGATCTAGGGTCACCAACAAGTCAATAGGTTAACAATTTATGTAAATATGATTGACAATTTATGCAAATACGACTATCAAAAACACATAAGATACTAATGGATTGACAATTTATGCAAATACGACTATAAAAAACACATAAGATACTAATGGTTAGAGGCTCCAAGTGACCATCTAGCTAGGATAGTTCTGAAGGTGACATGACATCTCCAAAAGACTTTTGAAGACTTCGCTTAATGAATGTTTTTAGGTTACTTTTTTAGAGTAGCACTGACATTCTTTGATTAGTCTTCTCAATCTTCTCTAGAGGTATAACATTTTGTCCCCTTTAATCAGGGATTACCATAAAGTGGTACGATTCAAGACTATTTTCAGGTCCTGTACGGTATCTGAATTTGGTTGTCCTTTGAGAGTACTTACAATAAATTTTTCTTGGTCATTTGGAGAAATTTGTACATGTGTAGACTTAGTATTAGGGCGATAAGTCATTAGGATATTGAAACTATTTTTTAGCACCACACTCTCTTTTTTTTTAAAAAAAAAGATCTTTTTGATAACCATGTTGCTATATTTTTAATTGCTTCTTTTCTTAAAGTCTTTGTCATATTTTCCAGTTCGTTGTTTATAATGGCGAAGAAGATCGTCGTTGAAAGAAACCTCATCTTTCATGAAGTGTGCAACCTTCATATGTAAGGTTGGTTAGAATGAAATTAGAAATCTTATTATAAGTCGATGTTTATTGTGGGAGAATTTTCCTTGACAAAGTGACAGTAGTATCCGAAAAGCCTCATGAAGCTACACACCTTGGATACATTATGAGGAGGTTCTCATTCAACTACTACTTGAATTTTCTATGGGTCAACTTGGATGTCGTTAGTGATTACCACATGACCCAAGAAAGATACCTCCAAGAGCCAAAACTCACACTTACTGAATTTGGCATACAACCATCATTCTCGAAGCATTTTGAGTATAATATGAAGATGATGGTGTGATCCTCCTCAAAAAGCATCGTTGAACATGGTATAGTTCTTATCGGACCTCGATTAAGTTAACACTAGGGCTTGTGTCAAGATCTCTTTTAACTGCTTAAAGCTCTAATAATGTTTCTCATCCCAAAAAAAGGCACTCCTTTTTGAAGTAACGTATTCATAGGGTTGGCGATCATTAAGAACTCATTGACAAAGTGACAGTAGTATCCGAAAAGCCTCATGAAGCTACACACCTTGGATACATTCTGAGGTGGTTCTCATTCAACTACTGCTTGAATTTTCTATGGGTCAACTTGGATGTCGTTAGTTATTACCACATGACTCAAGAAAGATACCCCCAAGAGACAAAATTCACACTTACTGAATTTGACATACAACCATCATTCTTGAAGCATTTTGAGTATAATATGAAGATGATGATGTGATCCTCCTCTAATTACGAGTAAACTAGGATGTCACCAATGAACCTTACCACAAACTAATCCATGTAAGGGTTAAAGATTCGATTCATAAGATCCATAAACTAGAAACTCGTAGTAACTATATCGGGTCCTAAAGCTTGTCTTTATTATATTGGGTTCCTTAACCTTTAACTGATAATACCCTGATCTCAGATCTTTCTTAGAGAATACCCTTGTTCCCCTAAATTGGTTGAATAAATTGACGAACCTTGGAAGTGGATATCAGATCTTTACCATCAACTTTTTCAACTATTGGTAGTTGATGCACAACCTCATTGATCTATCTTTCTTCTTTACAAAAAACACTAGGTATCCCCATGGTGAAGTACTTGGTCGGATAAGACTACGCTCAAGCAGCTCTTAGATTTGAGTTTTCAGCTTTTTTAACTCAATAGGTGCCATACAATAGGGAGCGATGGACGCTAAAGCCGCTCTTAGCAAAACTTCAATGCTAAATTCTAACTCACGATCCAACTGTAACCCCATCAAATCTTTCAGAAACACTTTAGGAAAGTCTCTCACTATAAGAATATATTCAAGCATCGGGCTTAAAACTTTAGTGTTTACTATGTGAGCTAGAAATACCTCATAACCCTAATTGATCAATCTCTAAGCCATTAAATCTGAAACTATCTTGGATGTACAACCATGACCTTCACTAGCCATAACAACTTTGGTATTATCTCTTATCATAAGTTTGAGTTTCCTAGCCTTGCACCTCAGGTTCACATCGTGCTTTGATAACCAAATCCATCTCTAAAATCATATAAAACTCTTATAAGGGTAACTCCATTAGTTCAGCTGGAAAGATCTGACCCTAGACCTCAATCGAACACCTATGATGAACCTTATCCATTAAAATATCTAGTCCTAATAGACTCGAAACCCTAGCCTTAACCTCAAGATCCTCAACTAAGGTACCCTCTATTGAACAATCTCACAAAAATATTGAAGTGTGAAGATCTGATATCTATTAAAGTAGTAAAACAATGAAAATACCTAAGATGACATCAACTGACTCACGTCCAACTATTGATCTAGAGTTGCTCCTACTAGGTTAACCCGACACTGAACTACCACACCTTTAGAGAGATTCTCATATCATCTGAAAGGATTAAATAGATCTTTAATACGTCGATAGTGTAAAACTCCCTTCCTATGGGCAATATCTAATGAAATGCTCTAGTGAGCCATACCTGAAACACCATTGAAAATTCAATCATACTTCTCCATGTGCCATTTACCACAATGCCCACATAAGGAAGGTTGCAAACCTCTAGCCTATCATTCGATGCTTGTCATAGAGGCTGAAGTCATGGGACTCCAACCCCTATCAACATCCTAAATCTACTCTGACCTTCAAGACTGTAGTGATGGGGACCTTTTCGCTCCGTGAGAGTCCCTAGCTCTCTTGGCTAAAAATTATTAGGGTCCAATAGAATTTAATTCCTTATAATTATATCATCCAAAGGTACCCATCAGACAGACCCTCATGCTTTAAACTCTCTTGATTGCCTTGGCTTGACAAGTCAGCTCCGTAAAGACCCTAGGGGTTGGCTGCTAGATGGGTAATAATATCGATATATAATCCTTTTTTGATCCCCTACAGCGAATGCCATCCGGTTTTACTATAGTTAGAACATAACAAATCAAGCTGAGAAAGTCATGCTTATACTCAAATACAGATCGATCACATTAAATTAGATACGAAAACTAATATATTAGATCATCATTGTGGGCCTCCCTAATGTATTTCTGTCTAAACTCAGCTAGAAAGTACTTACATGTCGACTTCTTTAGCTCAAAATCTAACTCAATTGTTTCCCACCAATCGATGGCATCATCATTCAATAAGGTGGTGACACAACCAATCTTACCTTTGGTAGTAAGATGTAATTGTCAGATGGTGTAGAAACTCTCATAGAGCCACTTTTTACATAAAATGGATCATCCCCTAAACCCAAAAATTTAATGGTCTTATAGTGTTAGAGTCTCTCTGCCGATGATTCCTATGGTACTATAGGCAGCGAGACAGGTGGTTCAAGTACATTGAGTGCTCTTAAAATAGCTCTAACTATGTGTTTAAGAGAAGACATGAGGTATATAAAGAAAATGGTCTTGTTTATTCATGAGTCCCCTAGGATGCCAATGTCTTCAAAGTTCGGGAAAAACTCATCAATAGTGTCATCAAAGAGTGAGGCTTGACTCTCATCACGACCCTCATAATTGCAAAAGATTGTCAGTCATATCCTAAGGAATTCAAAGGAAAGAGATGAGCCATTATCTCTATTCGATATATTTAAGTATTCTTGACACTCTAGATGCATGTACTCATTGACACTTATTGAATCTAACTCACGTGTTCTAACAAAGACTAAACATGATGATCTGATACCATTAAATGTAACACCTAAATTTGATATGACCCAAAATTTAGAGGATTTGAATATTACACTTATCTCCGAAGTATCTAATTATTTTAAATTCATTTCTTAATTTTTATCAAAACATCTTTAGTTAAAAACATAAACATTCAAGTCTTACAAACTAGGGAGCTCTCAAAATATAATGTCTTAAATACATGATTTTGATAAAAAAAACAAGAGTTACGAAAATTACACACATGTTCTATGAAATACTTTCCCTATAACTGAGGTGTACTCTAAAGCTCGATCCAATATAGAAATCTAAAGTTTGGCAATAAGCTCCTCAGAGTGGCACCTAAAAACTTATGAACGGAAACAATTATGAATATTGAGATACGAGCTTAGTGCCATACAAATAACTTTATTGTACTTCATGCATTCATCAAATGAATATGCTAGCAAGTATAATCATGAGTAGTGAAATGCATCAAGCATAAATCACAACCAAGCATAAATCACAACAAAGCATAGTAGTGTAATTCAGAGTTACCAAGTATAGTGGCAATACCACCATATAACTAAAGTGCTTTAGCTCTGGTACTAAAGTGCTCAGCACTAACACATAAGCGCACTTAACATTAGAATAAAGTGCCTTACATTAATAAAAATATATCAGAATATTGCTCATGCATACATATTAGACAATCGTCATATGAATGAGTGACTCGGGTGTCCTCATTGTTTCCCGAGTGTCAAGCAAAGGCATAAGTCTTATGCAATATGCCTTCATAGGATCATTATGTTTATCACACAATTATGTAATGTTTTTTCTTGTAAGCTTTTATTATCAAGGTTCCTAACCTTCAAACCCCTCGCTAGAACCCCTAAGAAAAACACTCTTCCAGTTGTTCCTGATCATGATAGTACCAATACTCAACCATATACTATCATTACTATTTTTTTATGGTATTGGTATTACCCGAGTATTGGTACCCAAATCACACTAGATGTTTTTGAAATGATTTCTAGTATCGATACCCCTATGTAAAGTATATGTACTTCCCTCTTAAGGGTGTCAATACTCTTAAAAGTATCGGTACCAAACTTGACTTTGCTATTAGAAAAATTCACCAGTATTTATACTTTTCTTTAGTGGTATCGATATTTTTCGAGTATCAATACCAAACTTATATTTTGGAATTTTAAAACCAATCCTAGGTATTGATACCACACCATTGATATTGATACCACAATAACAATATTGATACCCCAAGAACAGTATTGATACCCTATGAACATGGTACTGATAATACCTAACCAAAACCCACTAACTCTATCCTTTCAGACAAACAATATTGGTATTATTCATCCAATACTGATACCTCAAACCCATAAACTTTTTTCCGCAAACAAAACACGTCAACTCATAACCAAAATCCTTCATAAGGCCCTCCAATTTTATTTAAAGCTTATGACAGTTTAATGGGTTCATAATATGTCATTTCCATTCATGAGTAACATTAAAAATACCATTTTCCCTCAAGAACACAAATATACCCATTATGTCTCATAAAGTCATACAAGCAAGAAAATTAAACCTAGTGATATACAATCATTATAAAAGAGTTAGAAGTGGGTTACCTTGACCTTAGTTCTTGGAAAACACATTAGGTAAATTAAGCATAAGATTTTCCTTGTTCTTGCCTTTGGAGCTTTCTCAAAATTCTTTCATTAACTATAAACAAATAAATGAATTACTAAATCACCTAATGACTTAAAAGGAGAATTAATATGACTCCTATACTCTAGAAATGGATTAGAAATGTTTTAGGAGCCTAAAACCAAAAATCCCTTTAAACTTCCCACCATGGCCAAACCTTGAGATAGTGGACTTGATAAAAGCTCTAAGGGAGGATATTATCATTTTTACCTTTACAAATCAGGTCTAGTAAAGTGGAATGACAACGTTCACACCTTTCGAAACTTGCTAGAGGAAGAAGAAGAGAGAACAGAGAAAAGGAAAAAGAAAAAGGTGATGACCGCTTCTCAACGTGTGACATATGCCTCCTAAAGGGAGATTGACATTTTTTTCAAACAATGGGTTAATTACTTCCTTAGTACTTCTTCATTTGGTCTTAATTCTAAAATTCTATTTTTTATGTTTATATAGACCTAAAACCTACTTTAACAAAGCCCAAACTTAGCCCAACTCTTTATGAAGCCCTACTATTCACTTTAAGCCCAAACAAGTTACTTGAAACTACTAACTTGATATTCAAGTGTTACATCAAATGTGCATTGGGGTTGTTTATGATGTTGCTACTTATCCTTGTAATTATCTTTTATGAGATAATGAGGAAGAGAGTTATGCCACTAGGTTAAAGGAGTTACTATGTTTTAGGTGAATTATTGATTTAATGTTTGCTGTATGTTTCTTTACTTTTTTATTTTGGTTTTATCTATATTTTTCTTTTTATAGGGACTCGAGTAGATTTTGATAAGACAATAAAAAGTCAATGACCTACAGTAAAGTCTAGGTTCTTGGGGTCCCTATTGCTATATGTGATTGAGTATTTCATTGAGTTCAATTGCTATTCCTCTGACCATGATTTCAATCTTCCAATTTATGTGTCATTGGATCAACCATGGCTGTTAGGCATGAAGCCTACTACAATATTTTTAGGGGCTAACAAGAATAAGAAGGCAACTCCTCTAAATTTAATAAAGAAGAAGAGTTTAACCAAAGAAATGGTGCAGTGTGGTTAGTGGGAGATATAGATGAGGAAGTAAATTTTGCTTCCCTTCTTTTGGAGGTAGTCATAATATTTCTTTATCAACTGCTCTAGGGGAGACTCCGAAGATTTCTAGGGAAGACATTTTGAAAATCGATGTTTTGCACTACACTTTCAGTACCTCAACGATAGAAAGTATATTTGGGTTGTTACCTCAATGATAGAAGGTATGTTTGGGTTGTTATTTGTTCTTTTATTCATGCATTTGCAACTATTTTAAAATTTTATAGTTATTAGTATAGGGTTGTTTGGAGGGGACATTAAACCTGACTATTTTAAAGACTTTCTTAGGCCTAGCTATTGGAAAATAGATAGTGTGGTTGTAGAGTAGTTTTTTAATATTTTCGGTAAAACGTTACTTAAAATATTTTTTTACCAAAAATGTTAATTTCGCTACCTAATTTATGATAGAAAAGTTAGTAGAAAAAATATAATATTTTAGGCAGCGTCCAATATTAATATTTCCGATAGAAAAAAATAATGTTTTACACGGTACTTTACTAGAAATGTTAAAAAATTAATAATATTTTTGATAGCATCTTTCTTTAATTATATAAAGAAGTGATATTTTCCTAAAAGCAAAAGATTCTCTATTTTAGCATATGAATATTTTGACTTCTCCCATCAACAAGCTTTCCATGGCTCAAACAAGCACATCTCTAACTTTCCCTATGAAACTGTTCTCTCACATGTTATGTTTACCACAAATAAGCAAGCATTGGGCGACAAATCACAACAACCAAAAAAAATCAAAGTAGAAAACATAGAACAGTAATACAACGCATTTGGCCCACACTCCCTCTCCACAAAATCTCTCGTAGCCAATCAAAACACTCTCTCTTCGATCTCCTCGTTTGATTCTGACCCCTCAAATATCTTTCTTCTGTTCCTCCCTGTATTATTGCAGTACATTCAAAGGAAAACATAGGGTACCAAAGAACCTTTTTTTCCCTTCTTATTTCTCACCTCAAATCCATTCTGAGGCTCAAATTCAAAACCCCTTTTTTTCTACCTAAAAAACAAACCCCAAAAAATCTTCTCTTTATATCTTTGGATAAATAATTGAAGATTCTCTTAAAAAGATTCGTTCTTGGGAGAGTCTAGGAGAGAAGAAAAAGAAATGGTAGCTAGACTCTTTGCATTATGATTTGAGTTTTTTTTTCTTCCCTTGGACAATAAACAAATTTCTCACTAGTGAAATGGAAAAAGCTTCATGCTTGTTTTGTGGAAGGATTCCTTCAACGACAACAACAAAAGCTTTGGCTTTGAGTGTTCAAAAGAGTAGCTTTTTGAGTTCTTTGCCATTCTCCTTTTCTTATTCTTCGAAATCAATATGTTTATTTGTTGACCATAAATATAATTTACCTTTAACAAAATTTAAGTCCAAGCAGTTTGTTTGCAATGGTATTGGAGAAAGCAGCGGCAGTCAAAGTGACAGCAGGATTATTACTTCTACAAAGAAGCAGCTTAGAAGGAGAAGTTACATTGGTGGCAACCCAAGAGGTAACAAAAGTGAGGGTAATTCTGCTTCTACGCCTAATGATAGTCTCAGTAGGACAAAAATATTAGTCAAGGAACTAGGATTGTTGAAGAAACAGAAGGCTCAAAAGAATAAGGCTTTAAATATTAGAACCTTGTATCAAAATGGGGATCCCTTGGGCAGAAGAGATCTTGGGAAGAAGGTTGTTTGGTGGCTTAGTGAAGGTATGAGGACAATGGCTTCAGATTTTGTGTCAGCAGAGTTGCAAGGGGAGTTTTTGGAGTTGAGACAAAGGATGGGACCTGGATTGACATTTGTAATCCAGGCACAGCCTTATCTCAGTGCTATTCCTATACCCCTTGGACTCGAAGCAATTTGTTTGAAGGCTTGTACGCATTATCCAACATTGTTTGATCATTTCCAGAGGGAATTGAGGAATGTTCTTCAAGAGTTGCAGCAAAAATCCGTGGTTGAATATTGGAAGGAGACTGAGTCTTGGAAGCTGCTTAAGGAGCTAGCGAATTCTGGTTCGTTCTCTTTCTTTGAAACCTTTTTCATGTCCAACTTCGTTTCTAGCCTGTCGGTTGAATATAACATTAATTACTTGCTCTAACATAGTGTTTGGAATATGATAATTAATGCATTTAGTTGTTTGATTATAGCATAAATTTACTTGTTTGATTTAACAGTTCTTGGAATATGTTAATTAGTAGTTTGGTATGAGAGCGAGTTTGAGCTGGGAATGATGGATTTGCAGCTCAGCATAGGGCGATTGCTCGGAAGAATACATCTCCAAAGCCTGTTCAGGGTGTTTTGGGGATGGATTTGGAGAAGGCTAAGGCCATGCAAGGTAGGATTGATGAGTATACGAAGCGGATGTCGGAGTTGCTTCAGATCGAGAGGGATGCGGAATTGGAGTTCACTCAGGAGGAGTTAGATGCTGTTCCTACACCTGATGAGGGTTCCGATCCATCAAAACCTATTGAGTTCTTGGTTAGCCATGGCCAGGCTCAGCAAGAACTTTGTGACACCATTTGCAATTTGAATGCTGTTAGCACATCAACAGGTTATCTACCAATTTATTTGTTATTTTTTCCCTTTGAGGTTGATAAGCCCCATGTTTGCACCTTCATTTGCTCCTTTGAATGCAGTTTTGGAGTTTGTTGCATAAATGGTGGTTGGGTTTGCTAATGCCTTTAGAATTGTGCTATGTACAGGATTAGGCGGAATGCATTTGGTGTTATTTAGGATTGACGGCAACCACCGACTGCCACCCACGACCTTGTCTCCTGGAGATATGGTTTGTGTGAGGATTTCTGACAGCAGGGGAGCAGGTGCAACTTCTTGCATTCAGGGATTTGTTGACAACCTTGGGGATGACGGTTGTAGCATCATTGTTGCCATGGAGTCTCGTCATGGTGATCCAACTTTCTCTAAGTTATTTGGAAAAAGTGTGCGCATTGATCGTATTCATGGTTTGGCTGATGCACTCACATATGAGGTATTTGATAAATGCTTTTTATTTTCAGTCTTTGGGTTTACATTTCTTGGATGGTGATTGATGAACATGTTAGTTTTACAATCACTGACATATTTCTTAACTCTTAGTTCTATTGTCAAATTCCACTTGACTAGTATAGGTTCCTTCCTATCTTATTTGATGTAGCTTTAAATTTGTATGATGTATCAATGCCCTCTCATGATAATTTTGAAATTTCATGAAAGAAAAGGAAGTTTATCAAAGCACTAGGAGATAGAAGTTCATTCATAGTATTTACACAAGGTACTATTCCCAAGGCTCTATGCGTTGTATTCTTGCTATCCTTTGTTTTGAGTTCCATACTTCCATGGACATTATGAAGCCTGGTTTTGCCTATAATGCTTCTGAAATCCTTTGTGGATTACATTTTTTTTTCACATTCCATAATCTCTTATCGTGGTCATGATGCTTGGAGCATATATTGTGTAACTCTCTGATACGTACTTTTCAGTCATGACCGAGTGCAGTGTAGTAACAGTTTTCCTCATTTTTTATTTCTCTGATGATCTATATTTCTCATTTGACTAGGGAATCTATGTCAATTATAATTGTATTCCCAAAGAACCATCATAGTGAGTAATTAGCAAACCTCTCTTTCTTGAGGTACAAGAGATTCTCTAAAGCTAGAAAACTGCAACCTCTAACATACTTAATAATAAGTAGGACTGATAATATGGGTATCCATGTTATTTATATTTTCCCATCTCTATGCTAAGTGGTGGCACACTGCAAACTATTTAATTACTTATCAATGCGTTGGGTAAAATCTTATAGAATCAACTCCGCTCCTCCAAGACATGAAAATTGTTTACTAAAACCTGAACTGGTTACTATATTGGTTTTACTACAATAAATATGGCTACCTAAGAAAATTTCTAGAGTTTCTTGAGCTGTTTCCTGGTTAGATGCTAGATATTTCAAGCTGCAGCACCTGGCTTGGGCTACACCCCTTTTTACTCTTATTAGGTTCGTGTGGTGAATGATTCATTCGGTAGCTTGCCTTAAGGAATTTGCTAATAGAGAATACATCTTAACTTTTGATGTAGTTTTTTGAATTGCCAGTAAGTACTAATTCCAGACATATTTTGGCCGCTTTCCAGAAGTGTTTTTTTGTTAATATATAATATATTCACTTTTCAATTGTTTCTGTTCAACAATGCTTACTATATCTAACTGCCCTGTTATGTTTTTTAGCGCAATTGTGAAGCCTTAATGCTGCTCCAGAAGAATGGCTTGCAGAAGAAAGACCCTTCAATTGCTGTTGTGGCCACACTATTTGGAGACAAGGAAGATTTAGAATGGCTGGAGGAGAATGGTTTGGTCGACTGGAGTCAAGTGGAGTTGGATGGATTATTACAGCATGGAACATTTGATGATTCCCAGCGAAAAGCAATTGCTTTAGGCTTGAACAAGAAGCGGCCTGTGATGGTTGTTCAAGGACCTCCAGGCACTGGAAAGACAGGCTTGCTTAAGGATATTATAGTACTTGCCTCACAGCAAGGTGAAAGGGTTCTAGTAACAGCGCCTACTAATGCAGCTGTTGACAACATGGTGGAGAAACTTTCCGGTACAGGATTGAACCTAGTGCGTGTTGGAAACCCAGCACGCATTTCTTCAAATGTAGCATCCAAGTCGTTGGTTGAGATAGTCAATTCTGAGCTTGCAGATTATCGAGCAGAATTTGAAAGGAAGAAGTCAGATCTAAGAAAAGATCTTCAACTTTGTTTAAAGGATGATTCTTTAGCTGCTGGAATACGCCAGCTTTTAAAGCAGCTTGATAAGGAACTAAAAAAGAAGGAGAAGGAAATGGTGAAGCAAGTATTATCAAGTGCTCAGGTGGTGCTTTCTACGAACACTGGAGCGGGTGATCCACTTATTCGAAAATTGGATACTTTTGACCTGGTTGTTATGGATGAAGCTGGACAGGCAATTGAACCCTCTTGTTGGATTCCAATATTGCAGGGGAAACGTTGTATACTAGCTGGCGACCAATGCCAGCTTGCTCCCGTAATTTTGTCTCAAAAAGCTTTAGAAGGTGGCCTTGGAGTATCCTTGCTAGAGAGAGCTGCGACTTTGCATGAAGGGGTTCTTGCTACCATGTTAACAACTCAGTACCGAATGAATGATGCAATAGCCAGTTGGGCTTCGAAGGAGATGTATGATGGAGAACTGAAATCCTCTCCTTCTGTTGCATCTCATCTTCTTGTTGATTCTCTATTTGTCAAGGTATGAGATCGATTCATGTTTATTCATTCTATAAAACAGAGCATAGATCTTCATTAGTAATGGCTACTAGAAATGCTAAGTGAAAAAAACCTTCAAATAAGTTTATGGTCACAATCTTTTATTCAAATTCATGCATGCATGGGTATTTTTTAGCTTTACATAGGCATGCTTGCTATTTATTTGGTTTAATATTCTACATTATTGAATTTTTTGGAATTATTTATTTCTCGCGAGGTTAGCTTGGGTGGGGAAAGAAAAAGAAGGAAAAAAGGTTCAAGTTTTGATGTTTCTTTACCTTATTTCAGCCCACGTGGATAACACAATGCCCATTGTTGTTACTCGACACAAGGATGCCATATGGAAGTTTGTCAGTTGGCTGTGAAGAGCATCTAGACCTTGCAGGCACAGGGTCTTTTTTCAATGAAGGGGAAGCCGATATCGTTGTCCAACACGCCTTTCATCTGATCTATGCAGGTGATTGAGAATATATTTGGTCTACCTTTTTAATGGTGGTTACTATATTGATTTCAGTATATGACAAACTAGTTGAATTGTGTGTACTGTTGCACTCTTCATTCAAGTTTTAATAGTCCTTGGTAATAAAATAAATGTTAAACTATATTGGACTTGAGAATGTTACATGTATGAGCATGATCTTGTTTTCATTACTTTGGTTTCTCTTTTATAACTGTAGAAATTCCATGTAGAAATTCTAAGGAGATAAAACTCCTTACCGGGACAGATTTGCTTTTCTCGGCAGCTGTCCACACAGTTTGTATATGTTGTACAAACCTAGCTTGGACTTTAATCTATCTAAGCTTGTCCTTGGAAGGGCTTCGGTAAGAATATCGGCTATTTACTGTTGAGTAGAAATATAGTTTAGTTTTGCAGTCCCTTTGTTGACTTTTTTGGAAATAAAGTGAGTTTTTCAGAAATAAAGTGTGTCAATCACCACATGCTTTAAGTTCGAGTCAGTAGCAAGCAAATCTTTTAGCTTGAATGTCACTTTGTATCTTGAAGTGATCCTCTGGGTCAACTTTTAACTCTTTTAACAGTCTTTGAATTGAAGTTCCTTCACAAATTCCTGAAGCAAGTGCTCAAAATTCAGCATCTGCACTGCTTCCTGAGACCACAAACCATTTATTGCGCCTCCCTGTAACTAGATTGCTCCAAACCATAAAGCAATAGCCACTCGTAGACTTTCTTTCAGTTGATTCTCTAGCCCAACTCGCATCAATGTATACCTCTACCTCATGGTTTTTACATTTTTTATAAGAGTAATCCATGTCCTTTAGTGTTTGTTCCCCGACTTTCCCTTTGTATGAGTTTTAAAGCGATGTCTGTCCTTGGCTTCTGCATAATTCTTATCAGCTGGTAGACTAACACCCTCGCAAAAATCGATGGCCTTCCGAGTCCCGACCCTAGTTATTTCCGTGCTTGCTTTGTAGTGATTAAGAGGCCTTGATTTTTACCATCTTTCCTCACTTAACCATGTTGAGAACTATGTTCGATTGTATTCTCTTATGCAGGTGTTAGCCCAACAGCTATTGCTGTGCAATCACCTTATGTTGCTCAGGTACAGCTCTTACGAGACAGGCTCGATGAGTTCCCTGAGGCTGCTGGCGTCGAGGTTGCGACAATCGATAGCTTCCAGGGTCGAGAGGCTGATGCAGTAATCATATCAATGGTATTATCAATTTTTATTTTTTGCATGAATTACCATGTCTTTCTTTTGAAATTCCTGATAAAGTCATCATCTGTTTCCTGCTATAATTTATATGCTTTTAGTCTTGGTTTTACATATTTCTCACTGATTTCCCTCGAATTTGCTAGCAAAATGTTCATTTTTCTTTAGGTTGCAGACATTCATGATACCAATGTGTTTGAGGATCTTTGTCTTTGTGTCCCCTTCAGCATTTATGTTGCATGCAATGTTGCTCGGACTTTATTTTTCTTACTATTCATGTGTGTGACACTTGTGTCCGACACATTTAGACATAACTACAAGGGTACGATTTTCCAAATATATGAAGAAAAAAAGTTCGGAAATGCGAACATTCCTGTGTCACATAGGTAGCAGGTGATGCATGTTAGAGTGTGTTTAATTGCATGAAACTGAAATCCTAAGTATGGCTGGTTTAGATGCTTTTTACTGTTTTCAGGTACGATCAAACACTTTAGGTGCTGTTGGGTTCTTGGGGGACAGTAGGCGAATGAACGTTGCCATAACCAGAGCACGCAAACATGTTGCGGTCGTGTGTGATAGCTCGACAATTTGCCACAACACTTTCCTGGCCAGGCTCTTACGCCATGTCCGGTACGTTGGTAGGGTGAAGCATGCCGGACCTGGTGCTTCTGGAGGATCGGGACTCGAGATGGATCCAATGCTGCCATCCATTAGTTAACATGACATGGAAAAAAGGCTTTAAATTTGTTTCAGTTGAATGATTGTTTGGAAGTTCAATCTGTAAAATGGATGGTTTGGATACGTTTGATTTCGGCATCTGTTTTACCCATTAATTTATGTACATATGGTCATTTTTTGTGATCGAAATTGCTACCTTTTGATTCAGTTGTATATAGAAATATACATTTGATGAACCCTGGTTTGTATACATTCCAAAACTGCATATAATATCAAGGAAAACATTAACATTAGGATTATTTTTTTGGCTTTATTAAAAAATGAGCGTTAAAATTATATTTTTCATATATTTTTAGTTTTAATTTTTTTGGGTTTTAACGTTTTCGATTTTATTACTTTAAGTGTTTGATCCGGCTAAGAAGTTCAAATTCGTTAACTAATTCAAAAAATAAATGTGAAGATTTATAATTTTTTTTTTATATTTTTTAAAAAGAAAATTTTAAAATTATTATTTATTTTAAAAGGATTCTAAAACTTTTCTAAAATCTAAAAAGACTCAAACATCTAGAATTTTTATTTTCAAACTTTTGTTATTATTGTCACCATCGAATGACGATTCACCTATCGTCGTGCACCCACTTATCTGACTATCATCCCAAACTTCTATAGCACTATCTAAAATTTAAAAGAAGCTCAGTGCAGATGTTGTGTTGTACATGGATCATTTTGTTAATGATTTTCAGCTTAACTGAAAATGTGTGCCAATTCCATCCCCAGAGCGTAGATGATCATTTTATATGAGGAAACCATGGAAATGTGTCTTATCTGACGATGAGTATGTTTCCGAATATTACTCGTATAAAAAAATATATCATTTAAAAATTTTAATTTAATTTAATTAAAATGATCATGATTTAAATACATATTTAAGTTTACAAAATTTCAATATCTATATGACGTATAATCGCTTAGGTACTAATTTTGGGCATTGTGGGGGTGTCACTCTTCCCCACACGTAATCGATTCCTAAGCCCTTTTTCAAAATGATTTTAAGCCCTTTTTCAAAATGATTTTTTGGTTAAACGTAGATCAATTTTATCTTTTAACTTAATTTTTCTAAAAATTATTTTAAAAGATATTTTTTAGGTATTCGACCTATCTAAACCAAAGGTCGATGGCGACTCCAAATTGTTTTTTTAAACCTTAATTTTTAAAATTAAGATGGTTCGATCCCTCCAAAGACCCAAAGTCAAAGAGCTGAAGGACCTTTCTGATAGCTTGGTGACTCCACTGGGGACTAGTTAGAGAGTGAGGTTGTAATCGATTATACATCATTTTTATCTTTGAAAATTGTGAATTTGAAATGTATTTAAATTGTGATTCTTTTGTTTTATTGTATTTTATCTTTGTTTGCATCTCATTTGTTATTTATATTTATTTATTAATAAATAGTTGTACTAATTTCTGATTTCCCTAATTTCAGATTTCTGACATATTTTTGAGTTTGTTTGTTTTGGATCGAAGGCAAAGAATTGTGAGTTTCCCCTCACGTGCGATATATTCATTCGATATCTAGAACATTCTTATTGGCTCTGTCCCTTTAGGTTGATGTGAATGCTAAGCCTATGTGAGAAAAATTATTTTTTCTTTTCATGGGCCTTAGCATTTAGCCTATGGGTACATATGCCCTATGTTTACGAGGAAACATTGAGTTTCCTTGCATGGACATAGGGAAATGCATCCCCTATAATTGAACTTGGTCTGTGAGCCTGTAATAGGTGAGGATCGAGGGTCTGGTAGGCCCAAGTGAGCACTGACAAGGATAATTCAAGGACCCTTAGTAGTATCAAAACCTTATCCGTTTTATGTCGAAACTCTGCCTTAAATTTTGCCTTATGTCGAAACTCTACCTGAACTTTCAAAGGGGAAATTCACTTTAACCTTTGCTTAGATCTACTTTTTGCAAAAAAACATGAGAACTAGAAAAATATGCGGTTAGGGTTTACTTACCAAATAAAAGCAGGGGGTAGAGATTATGTCTGGGTAGGATTCATTATATCATGTTTGGGTAGATTACACGTGGGTAGGATTTACGATCTATTTTCTTGCTTATTTGATGATCATATTATAAAGAAATTTGCTGGTTTGCTAAGTGGTTATTCAAGTAGAAGGTGATTGTAAAATTGACAATAATTTCAATAACAAGGAAATACCAAATGCAGAAGTGAGGTCATGGTTTGAGGTAGCCTAGAGGAAGAAAGGAGATAATTTGACCAAGGATCACATATCTGTTCTACCAAATGTCGCACCAATTAGTCTTAAGAAAAATAATCTTCAAGAATTACGTGATATCTGGGGAAGTTGGGAGCCCGCTACGCAGACTGCTTTTTGGAAGAAGTATGGTGATATAACTCTCTTGTTGTACGTAAAGGTAAATGAGTCATTGATCAAGACATTGGTTCAATTTTTGGAATCCTACATATAACTTTTTCACTTTCAACAAGAAGAATATGACACCTACTATGGAAGAGTACAACTCCCTATTTCATTTTGAATGGGAAAAACTAGATAAAAATTTACTCAAGGGCACCAAAACCAGCGCCCCTCAAAACTAAGCTCGCAAAGATTACTGAATGGGAGAAAAATATAACACCCATTTCCCGTATATGTTCCCGTATATAAGTCACAAGTGTCACCCGACTTTTAAAAACATTTTCTTAATTATAAACCTGTAAAAAAATCAAAATTTAAAACTAAACATTTTTAATATATGCTAAAATATTCGTTGTAAACTATTACAAAGTTATAACTTAAATACATTACATAACATTTTTCTTAGATTCATATACATGCCATCTAATTATCAAAAGAAGACCTGATTGTCCTATAGTTACTGATTAGTCAACCTTGGATTGATGTTCTCTGCTGCACTCCTTACTCTGCTAAGTCTTTGCTTTTACCTACGCGTGAAATCAACACACATTAAGTATTTACTTAGTGAGGCATAATAATGTAAATGAATTGAAAATTCATACATAATCATATTTTAGCTATTGAAATACAAACTAAATCGTATACTTCATAAAAATCAGTTAATCATCTCAATTAAACCCATGTTTCTTTCATATCGTCATCAAAACCATTCTTAGTATGCCCAACATACTAATTTTTCTGTATTTTGTTCCCAATTATACTTTATTTTGCTCAATATATGTTAAATAAGAATTTAGGGTACATACATTACACCGAAGTGCTGAAATGGTCATTCACCTTTTATGAATACCATGAGTGGCACTTTTTTTGCCAATAATGCATTATTTATACATTTTCATTTATGGCACATTTCTGCCAATAATGCACCATTATGCATTTTCATTTATTGCACCTTTCTGCCAATAATGCATCGTCATGCATTTTCATTTATGACATATTTCTGCCAATAATGCACCGTTATACATTTTCATTTATGACACATTTCTGCCAAAAATGCACCGTTATGCATTTTCATTTATGGCACCTTTCTGTCAATAATGCACCGTTATGCATTTTCATTTATGGTACATTAATGCCCTCGCTAGTATGTTGTAATGATGTCAAGCTATTCGACAACTTTATCTTTTCCCTTTTTTTTGCTTGACTCAAGAGCTTGGTTATGATCTACACAAGCATCCATTAAATACACATATTATCCCAAGTTAGTATACTCTCTAACATTTATACTTTTAATAATACCTAAAGTTATATTCAATTTCTATCAAAATTCCTCCTATCTTAAATTTTCCAGGCTCAATAGTATCGGTACCCCTACCATGGTATCGATACTTTTATATTATGGTATCGATACCCCCTTTCAGTATCGATACAATTTCTGCATTCTAGAATCCATGGTATCGATACCCACCGTAGTATCGATACTAATTGCATCAGTATCGATAATGTTCATCATAATTCTTCAAATTTAAACCTATAATATATGTATTATTCTTCCAGTATCGATACCCTTACCCAGATTTTCCATTTTTAGCTCGATTTTTACCCAATTTTCATCAAATTCCCTTACTTTTACCTTTAACAATACTATTAAACTCTTCTTTACTTATCCCAACTAACTTTCCTTCATTTAGCTTCATATAACATCTACAATCTCCAAAGAACATCCCCAACTAAAAATCATACTACTTGTTCATACATGTTTTTAACCACATCCAATGCTTCTAATATCTTATTTATTTATTTCACAAGTCAAATAGACTAGTAAACCTCAATAAAAAAAAACTCATAATTCAACATATCATTCAAAAACCCATTTTCAATCTCTAATAAACACCCATCTCTTAGTTTTCATCTTTAACCTTTCCTTAAACCTCTATAACTCAAGATTTCAATACCAGCCATTAAACTAAAGGAAAAGCAACTTAGAGGAAATTCACCTTTGGCTATAGAGAGAACGACACAAGAAGAAGGAGAAGAGAAGATAAGTCAAATAGACTAGTAAACCTCAATAAAAAAAAACTCATAATTCAACATATCATTCAAAAACCCATTTTCTTCAATCTCTAATAAAACATCCATCTCTTAGTTTTAATCATCTTTAACCTTTCCTTAAACCTCTATAACACTCAAGATTTCAATACCAGCCATTAAACTAAAGGAAAAAGCAACTTAGAGGAAATTCACCTTTGGCTATAGAGAGAACGACACACAAGAAGAAGGAGAAGAGAAGATAAGTTAGCTTCTTTTTCCACTTTCTCTTTTTTCCTCATTCTTAAATACCCTAATTAAAAATGGATTTTAACTCCATTTCCCTCTAAAGGACCAAAATACCCTTTCACTCTTCTATTCTTACTAATTGGTTTTAAACAAAATTTCCTAAATCATTTCTTATATTTTACCATTTATTTCATTTAATCCTCCAAAATTTTAAATCATTTCAATATAGTTACTAACCAAATATTTGGGGTATTACAATTCTCCCTGTTAAGAAAATTCGTCCTCGACGAATTTAAAAAAGTACCTTATACGGAGAGGTGTGGAAACTGCTTCCACATATCCTCATCTCTTTCCCAAATAACTTTTTCTATTTTTTAGTTTATCGAAGCACTTTAACTAAAGAAATTTGCTTGATTTCTCTAGCCAAGATCTGCACTAGTTCTTCCTCATAAGTTAAATCTGGTCGGATCTCTATTTTCTCGGTGTAATGATATGGGATGTATTTGATCAGTACTTTTTGAACATC